CTATAGTCATATCATCCATATATATTTTTAACCAATCAAATTGTTTGAATAATTTATTTAATTCTGCTATTAAATATGCTGGTGCAGTTGTTATTCCAAATGGTAACCTTTTCCAAATCTTCCAAATCTACTTGCTGTGTATTTTTGTGATCTTGGGTGTGCATTTAATTGCCAATATACTGATTTTAAATCTATCGTTATAGTATTTATATCTACTAATGTCTTGTAGGAATTGCATTGTATTTGGTAATAGTTGTTTAAATTTTACCAAATGTTTATTTAATCTTCTATAGTCTATCACTATAGCTTTTCTTCTATCTTTTTTGGTTATTATTTGTACATTATTTGCCTATTTGCTATATCCAGGATATATAATATCATTTTTTTCTAAATCCTCATATAATTCTTTAATAATTCTTTCTTCTTCTACAGTATATTTTCTTATTCTTTGATTTTTATCATTATCAGGAATTTCGTGTTCTTTTTTATTCAATATAAATTGAATATCAGAAATTACATTATTATTTACAGAAGTTCTCATTTCCTGTTTTTCTCTAAATTCATCTATGTATTCTGTTAATACATCTTCAAGTATTTTTCACACTTTATTTCTACATCTTTTCTTTAATATTTTTATTCGTTCTTTTTTAGTTTCTCCTAATTTTTTTGAAGAAAAAAATTCGGGTTATATCCTATTGTTTCTTTTTCATCCACTTGTTCTATATTTCCAATATGTTCATCTTGTTTTATTTGAATATTTTTATCACTAATATTTATTGCTAAAATGTAGTCTTCATTGGGTCGTCCTTGTTGTATAGCTAACCCTTTGGCTGCTAATTGTATAGGGGTCCCTACTATTCCATTTTCTTGAGGGTTTAATATTTTAATACTCATCAATGTTATAGGTGGTATGACTGTTTCTTTTTTACTAAATATCTTTTCTTTTTCAGTTTTAATAATAGTGGGTACTATTTTTCTTTTTTGTTGTATAGTTAGGTTATTTAATAAAATATGATTATATTCTTCATCATCATTTATTCCATATCCTTCTTTGTTTTCTTTAAGTTGATTTTCAACTTCTTGTCCAAATCTTTTATTATGATGTTCTTCTAGATCTGCTTCTAATTCTGCTTCTAATTCATCTAACTCTTCTTTTTTGTAGTCTTCTAATTCTTGATATACTGTTTCAGGTACATATGTAGTATATATTTGTCCTCTAAAGGTACCATGTATTGGTTTGTAGGTTGAGGATTGTCCTTCATTATGTACATTATCATAATATGGTATTTCTATTTCTTTATTAGAAATTTGGTCTGTGTGTTTTGAGCTAAGACTTGGGCTTTTATATCTTTGTTGTTTTCTTTTATAAGGATCTGGTGATGGTGTATAACCTCTTTCATTTCTTTTTCGGTCAGGTTCATCGGCACTAATTTCAATAGTAGGTGTTCTACTTAAAGTATATTGACTTAATGGTGAAGGTGTTGCTGGTCTAGATATGAATTTATTTTTAATTCCTTGTCATACGTCTCTGAAGAACTTTGTTACTTTTAGTAATACTCCTTGAGGGATATCTTCATTCCTTCTAGAGGCTTGTAATAGCCTTTTATTTAAGAATACGTTGTCTGTGGGTGAATGTGGTATTTTTATTCCAATTTGTTCATTTTCTCTAACAAATTCTTTATCTCTGGGTACATCATAGTTCATATGGTTTGTAGGTACTTCTTCCTTTTGGATTGGGTAGTAACATTTGTGGTTTTTCCTTTTTCCTTGCCTTGATGACATCTCCGTAAATTCTTCCTTGAATTTCTTTGTCATCATGCATTTCTCTAATTGAGATTCTAAGAATTCTTTATGTTTTTCATATAATGCTTGTTTTGTAGGTTCATTTTTGCAGTGTGCTTGTACTGTTATTAATGCAGTTACTGCTGCTTGTTGTTCAATGAGTCCCATATCATTGAATTCTTCAGTGGTTATATCTAGTATTCCGTGAATATCTTTATTATATTCTTCTTAAAGATCTTTTATATCTTCTCGATGTTTCCATATTGTTGCATCATTTGTTTCGTTTAATGTTGATAGTACTTCATATAAGTATTCTCTTCTTGTTTCTGCAGGTTTGTCAGTATCTTTAATTTTTGTTACTTTTTGTATTGATTCAAGATATTCTTCTATTTCTTCTTCAGTTAAGCCTTGAGTATAACTGTAGGTTTTATTTATTTGCTCTAATCTCCAATTGAGATCTTGAATTGTTTGTTCAATTTTTGTATCTTTGGCTATTTCTCCATCAAGTATAGCTTTATCTAATCTATTTAACTTTTGTTTAATGATTTGACCCATTTTTCGTAGTTGATCTTTAGAAAATTCATCTTCCTTCTTTTTTCCTTTCTTTGAAGGTAGTACCTTATTTAAGGTTTCTTCTACTTCCCTATTTATTTGATTTAAATGTTTATTATTCAAATTTTTCTGTTCTTTATTTGCAGATTGTTTATTATTTGCCATAAAGGTTGTTCTTGCTAATCTATCTGCTAAGTCAGATACGTCTGGGTTTTCAAATTGAAATCCTAAGGGTATGTATATCCCTGATCCTTGGGATCCTGTGATTTCACTTTGTTCTTCATTCTTTTTTTAGTCCACTCTTGAATATTTCGATCCTTTTCTGTTATAACGTCATTTGCATATTCTCGTAATTTTATTACTTCATATATTTGTGCAATTTGATCTGATAATTCTATGTTTGGTGTTTCTAGTACCATAACACAGACCTCGTTGTGCTTTGCTATCATCTGAAATACATCTTGTGTAATCATTGCGTTTGGATCTAATATGTGTGCATGCTTGTCCATTCCTATTCCAAATATCGCTTCCCGGAGATTGTTGTTTATGTGTACTAATTGTATTTCTTTTCCATACATGTAAAGTATATTTTTGTATTCATTTACATGTTTTCCATTTCCTGCTACATAGAAGTGTTGTGTGTTGAAGTACATTGCTATTCTTCTTTTTTCTTTATTTTTATCTTTATATCGTAATCTTTGATCTATACTATTTAGGATATCCATAAGGTCAGCCATTGTTGATCCATAACATTTGGTACTTGTGCTATTTTCCAATAATAGTCCAATTCTTAGATTGTTTTCAACTATTTTCCTTAATATATAATTGATATTTTCTATTATATCTTCTCGATCGCGATCAGTTTTTGTTCCTAAGTGTAGTACACTCCATCATATATTCATTTTATTAGCGTGTTTTAATTCTTGAATTATTCTTATTATTTTCCAGTTTACCTGTTTATTTCCATTATAATATGTAAATAGCTTGTCATTTATATATAATCCCATGTTGTGATGTAAAACCATTTTTAAATTAATGTTTTTATTTCCTTCTATTATGTTCATATTTTCCTGTTCATCAGGTGCTCCTTCTTTTACTAAATCCAAATATTTTAAGAATATTTGTACTATATTAGATTGGGTTATGATAGTAGTTTTTACTATCTCATCCCAATGAAGCGTAGGTTGTTACTCCAATTAATTTGACTCTATTTTCATTTTCTTTAACAAGCTTTCTAAGCTTTTTAACTTGTTTAGGAAATGACTCTGGTAAGAGATGTGTTACAAATCTCTTACATTTCCCTGGATTATATTGTTTATCTACCCATTTCTCAGTTGAGTCATTTTGTTTTATATTTTCTTTTAAAAACTCTTGTTTAGATTTTCTTTCTAAGGGCAGTTTTACTTTCTTCTTCTTTAAAGTGTTGTTATTGCCTTTTTGTATAGGACTTAAAATGGTTTCATTTTTAGATTGTGGAGTAACATTGTTAGTTACTATGTTAGGCTCAAAGGCTTTTTCCAATATTATATTGTTATTGACGTGTAATTGGTTGTTAGAGGTTTGACTTGTTTTGTTTAGGGTATAAGTAGTAAGTTTAAGTTTATCTTTTACTATGTTGGGTACCAATAACAGGTTTTTTTGCTTTTGTCTGGGTCACTAGTTTTTTGAGCAAGGTAACTAGCTGCATATGATTTGCTCTTTGTTAAATGTATTTTTGGCTGATTTGCGGTATCAGGTTGGGTGATTTCATCAGAATTTGTGTGCTGACCATGAGATCTCTCCTTTTTTATTGTAAGGTTCAAGGTGCGATCCGAGATCCTGTCGTAAAACCAGTGTGATAGGTTCACTTTTTGCACATCTGTTGTTATGTCTTGGTATGATATCGGTATGTCTCTGATTGTTATAATTTGAGTTTCTCTAGTTTTCTTTATACACATTTGTGCTTGATTTACTTCTGCTAAGAGTATATATACTTGTTCTCCTTCTATTACTAATATTTTGATATAAAATATTAGGTCTTCTATTTGGAGTTTAACTCTTACTTTGCCATAGTTTGTTACATTCATTCCTCCTAGAACTCTTGCAGTTCTAGTTTGTTTTTTATTAAGTTTGTCTAATAAGTTCCATTTTTTTGCTACATTATAGGGTATTATACTTGCACTTGCTCCTTCATCTATGAGTACTTTGATTGGTTTGTTGTTCATTAATGCTATAAATTCATATGATTTTTTGCCTTTAGAAAATTTTTGAGCTTTATGCGCTTCTTTTGGAAAGTAGTATTGTTTTAATAAATAAGAGTATTCTGGGTTTTCTTGAGTTTGTTGGTACATTTTACTTGATAATAGTTTGGCAGAATATTTGTTATATTGATCATTTTGCAATCTTTTATTTATTTTATTATTAATATATTGTATATTGTGTATACTTTCTTTAAATGTTATAGTATTATAATATACTTTAGTACTAAGTAGTTTGCTACTTTGGCCTATTTTCTTTTGGATTTTGTCCTAAGTACTACACAGGTTCTCTAGTCGAAATATCGTATTTTGTTAAGGTTTTCCTTAACTTTGGTATGATGAACTATTTCTTTATCACTGTTATACTCTTCATTTTCTTTATTATAATGGTTTACTTTTCTTTTGTCATTTCTTTTGTAAGAGCTTCTTTTTTAGATTTGTAGTCGTTTCTTTCTTTTCTTTCAGAGTTGTATACTTTTTCTGGTTGTTTTTCTTCCTTGTAGTTGTTAACTCTTCTTCTTGTGAAAGATTTTCTTGTATTGTTTTGTGGTCTTCTTCCACCATTGTTTCTATTATTATTATTGTATCGAGGTCTTTCTTTTCCTCTATTGTTCTTGAAGTTGTTATATTTAAGAATCATAGGTGTTGGTCCTCTTGCTCTTTTTCCTTCATAATAATTGGCATTATTGTTTGAACATGTTTTGGTGTGATATCCATTATCTTTTCCACAATATGAACAATATTTTCTGACAAAGGTTTTCTTTTGTCTTC